GGTGTGGGTGGGCGGGCGCCTTTCCCCGCCTTGGGCAGCCGCTTAAATAGTTGCGGGCCCTGGGTCCAAATCCTAATTGCTGGATTTCTTGTGAGGGAGCGAAGCGTCCTGCTCCTCCCCCCCCCCCGCCTTGAATGGCAGCAGTACCCCAACCTCGGCGAGGCTGGCCTTGCCTGCCCATGTCCCAGCTGAACCGCTTTCACCTTTTAGGCAGCAATTTACTTGGGATTTTCTTGTGGAAAGGGAAGGCCGAAGGCTCCCTACGTGACTTTTTCTGTATAGCAGTCAGAAAAAGCTAATTAATCTTTTTAGGAGTATCAAGTAACTGCACAAGGGGACGAGATGAGAAAAGAGGATGAAATGTTCAACAGCAAAACACGCATATTAGTCCAACCGACAAGTTATGATTTATTCTGCTTTGTCAAAACCTTAACAATAACTAATATATTTAATTTATGATATACCTGCTCAGGTGTCCTGCTTGTTTCCACTGTTAGGAACATCAGTATTTCTCCTCAACGCATAGACACAAGATCAGTAGAGTCATTTAGGAATTACTTTATAGGCCATTAGGTAAACTTCATGGGAACGAAATAAGTAAACTTAGTTTTCAGAGGACACTCGTGGCTTTCCATTTCTACGGGAAAGAAACCCTGACTGTACAAGCTAGACAGGAGCTCAGAGCGCTCCATCCAGGTCATCCAGATTAGATGCACCGTGGCACGTGCAAGTCTGGAAGCTGCCAGTTCATTTTGTCTTGGAGAGTAAATATTTCCTGCATTTAGTTGAACTGGCAGCTCTCTAGTATGTCTGGACAAGTTTCAGGAAAGGTGACCAGGCTGCTGGGCTGTAATCCGTTAGTCCAGCCGCTCCCACCACCTCTCTCTCTATCCCAAGCTCTCCCTACATATTTGGGACCGTGCTTAAAGGGGTGGAAGAAAGTTGGCAGATGCAGCATTTTGACCGTGCCAACTTCGTTAATACCTCAATGATATGTGATAACTTAATGATTTTTCAAATTATTTTATTTGGTTTTATGGAGATTTTTATATGATTGTTGTATGGTGAATTTTACCAAAATGCCATAAGTACACATTGAATTACGTGATCCCACTATAATGTTTTTTCCCTACCAAGACACTGGCATCTGTAATATCCCTTTTTTTCCCCTGTATGAGCTACCATAATGATTAAGAGGTTTAACTTCATTCTTTAGTTCCTTAAATAATACCTGGAAAATAAAGTAATCTGAAAACATTTTGCTTCTGTATGTAAAATAATAGACTTACTAAGCTGCTAAAGGGAAGCTTCTAGTATTTTTTTTATAGAATCATAAAATGGTTTGGGCTGGAAAAGACTTCTAAAGATCATCTGGTCTGACCTCCCTGCCATGGGTAGGGACATCTTTCACTAGGTCAGGTTGCTCAAAGCCCCGTCCAACCTGACCTTGAACACTTCCAGGGATGGGGCATCCACAACTTCTCTGGGCAACCTGTTCCAGTGCCTCACCACCCTTGTCATAAAAAATGTCCTCCTTATGTCCAATCTAAACCTACCTAAACCTACCCTCTTTCAGTTTAAAACCGTTGCCCCTTGTCCTGTCCCTACAGGACAGGACACCAAGATATATCTACCAAGATCCATTTATCTGCATGCTCTCTACTTTCTTATCATTTTACACTTGAGCTACTACTAATCAAGAGCTATGCTGGATTTTTAAAGGTGCTCTGTTCCCATATAATCAAAGACTGTATTTCCAACACTGTTCAACGCGTAGGGCACCAAGTGATTCTGGAGGTGTGTTCATGAATATCTGGGTGGAACCTTCTTGATACCTAATGCTTCTAACAGCATGAGACGTGTTAGGTGGCCTAACAAAATTCTCTTTGGGAAAAATCACGCCTTGCAAGTGAACGTTAGGATATGCCCATAAAGACCTAGCGTGGCTCAGTGAAGTCACTGGAAATCTGTCAACTTGAAAAGGAATGGATCAGATTAAGAAAGCTGTTGTGTGTTTCCTTTTTTATTAAGCTCCCACTTATTCTCTGGGTAGGTTCACTTCATCACCAGGTGAAAATGCATTCCAGGTGAAGATCACTGCTCCTGATGAACAGTTCACTCGGGTTGGTGTGCAAGTATTAGACAGGAAAGATGGTTCCTTCCTTGTAAGATACAGGATGTATGCAAGCTACAAAAACCTGAAGATAGAAGTCAAAACTGGAGATAAACATGTCGCAAAGTCTCCATATATTTTAAAAGGTAAGAAGCAGCTCTACACACAGATTTCCTATCGTGGCTTTTTCTCACAAACTGTGTCCCAGAATGTCTTCTAGGATTAGCATAGAATTCTGTGGGACCTCAGTACCTCTCCGGACTATTAAATCCCATTGGAATTATGAATTCATTATAAGCATCCTGCGTGTACTATTCAAAATAATAAAAAGAAACAAATGCTGTGAAGCTGTTGCCTAGCAAATACAGGTAGAGGGCTCATACAGAAGCTGATATAGCTTGGCATGACTCCATCGGAGTCAAAAAAAGTTCAGACGTGTCCATTTAGAGTTGCTGAAGGTTTGGCCCTAAGCAATAAACGCTCAGTGCCTGACCCTCTTTTGTGATCTCAACAGCTCAATAGCGTGACTAACTAAAACTAAAATAATAATTGTGTTCCTGATAGGACCTATTTACCATGAAAACTGTGACTGCCCTCAGGAGGAGAGCAGCGCATGGCTGGAAGAGATGAACTGCCCTCAAATCATTCCACAGATTCAAAGAGACCTAGCAAATTTTCCCATTGTTGATCCAGATAAGATTGCAAAAGAAATTCCGCAGAGGTTTGGACAAAGGCAGAGCTTGTGTCATTACACCATCAAAGACAACGAGGTACGGAATGGGTTGATCTGATATACAACTAGGCTGTTTGGCTGTTCCCAGTTGAAAGGCTTTTTGTAGTCTGTTCTTTAAGAAACTTCCTTTGCTTGCTTCTCTGTCGTTGAATACTTCGCAGTTTGTATATGAGCTCAACAATATCTGTCCTACTTTGTAAAGTACTTTTTGTCCACGTTACAACTGAAGCACAGTGAAGGCAAATTACTTTCCAAGGAATCAGTGTGAGTACTGGGCACAGACCCAAGTCTCCTAAACGCTAATTCAGTTTCCTGTTCTCTGAGTAATACTGCTGTGGAGTGTCACGATCATCTAATTTGACATGCATCAATAAATTACATTGTGCATAATACTGAGGTAAAGAAATACCACTTTTAGCTCCACTGAGGATCAGAGCTACAATTCTCTTTAACAAAACTGTACTGACTTCAGTAGAGTTTGGTGTGAAAATGAGAACAATGGAACACAACTGAAACAGGCAACCAGTTTCTGTTTCCATGAGACAGACCTAAAACGTCTGCAAAAGCAAGCAAAGCTTGTCCTTTTTTTTTTGGTCGCTTTTCTGTGATGACTTAGAGATATGAGATTTCTAAAGCTTCCCAGCTGATTCATAAATCTATACAGCCATACAATCTGCCTGACCAGTTACTTACTAAGTGATTAAAAAAGGTCTAAATTGTGCCAGCCGTTCTCTGAAATGAAAACACCAGACCAGTAAAACCTTTGTTTATTTTCAGGTTTATATAAAGACGTATGGGGAACATGTTGGCTTCAGAATTTTCATGGATGCCATACTGCTTTCTTTGACAAGAAAAGTGAGTACATCTGTACGGTCATTTATTCTGTATGTCCTACTTCATAGAAGCCTGGGCTTAACAAATATACTTCAGCATATTTGCTGCTATTTCTGTTAAAAAGCCCTTCTTGTTCTTTGATTAATAATGGAAAGGTCAGATGGATTTTCCTTGTTTGAAGTTGGCGTGTTCTAGAATGCTATCTGATCAGTGTATGGAGTATCACAAACGTTAATTGAATAGCAGGCTTTTATAGGAGAGTTTGATAGATTTGGACAGAGTGTGGTTTTGGGTTTTTTTTTTTTTTCTATAGACTAAAAAAATCATCCTGTAGCATCTAATAGAAAACTCTGTCTCTGCTGGTACATTTTACAGGATGACTGAAAAAAATAGGGAATGTGTATCGTTCTCCATTAAATTCCATATGTTGAAGACAAGATGGGAAGGGTTGAGAAAGAGCACCAAAAGCCCAACAGGTGGCACGTGGGAAAACTCCCTCAATGTACAAGCAAAAAGCACCACACAGACTCTTTCCGAGGAAAGCTTTGGAAGAAAATCTGACATTATGTACATAGTGACAGAATATAGCAGGGCTGAAGTTTCAGCACACACATATGCGATTATTACATAAAGAGAGTAGTAAGAGAAATACAAAGATATCTGAGTTAATATCTATTTTTGACTGTAAAAAGACAAAGCGCTTTGTCTATTAAAAAGGAAAGTAGAGAGAGGAGCTACTGAAGTATGAAGTTGTTCACCTAAAAACAGTTCCTTAAAAATCTAATAAAAAATAAACACATTATTTATAAGCAGCTGAAAGATAAGCTAATTGGTAGGAAACAACATGGATTTATCATAAAAAATAACTATATAATTTCTTTCTATAACAAGAGGGTAAGTCTCACAAGTTTCTCATAAACGAGATAGGAAAACTTTGCCTAGAAGAAACTACTGTAACCTGCTTGGAAAGCCTTACTTAAACAGTAGTTGCCAATGTTTCCAGAGCAGTGAAAGGTGTCACAAATGTATTCTTCAGTAATTTGTCCTAGGTTCAGTCCCCATTTAATAATTTAGTTATATTTTGACTGAATGATGGACTAGAGAATATGCTTATTGAATTTTCAGAGAACAAAAATGAAAGAACCTGCAAGCACCTCACAGTACAGCATCATAATTAAAAATTTTCTTAACAAGTAAGAGAAATTATATGGAAAAATGGATAAAATAAAGTGACGAGGGCAGGCTACTACACAAAGGCTGGATAAGTCATATAGTTATGACACCTATTTAAAATAGGGACTGAGTGGTTATTTTCTGCAGAAAAGTGTGATGGTTACAGTATCACAAATTTAACACGAGCCAACAGTGGCATGCTGTTGTGAAAAGCTAAACACACACATTAGCAGAACAAACACACGAAAGAAATGTAAAGTAACCTTTCCACTATACTCAGGATTAGTAATGGATCGGTTATGCCACTGTGTCTGCCTTTGGGTGTCATGCTTCAAGAAAGAATGTTCAATCACTGACATTGCACAGGGAAGCGGTAAGAATGACTAGACATACAAATGAAGATTCATTTAAGCGGGGATTGTTTCATCTAACAGTGTCTAAGGGAAGACGTGAACATAGCCTTTAATAATCCAAAAGGTTGCTCTGTGGAAGATGGACGTCAGCTGTTCTCGGTGTCAGTAGTGTTGGACAATCACGATCTCTAAATTAGCCGTTAGTCGTCAGGACAGAGATCTTGAAGTTATTCCAACAGTTTTCCAAAAACGCCAGTATAATAATCAGATGTTCATAATGGTCAAATACCCAATTAAGACTTATTAAGGAGGGAGGCAAAAACAAAAGAAAAAAAGATTATGTCACAGCATAAAATCTGTGACATGCCTATCTTGTGAAAACGGTGCAGTTCTCATTTCACTTTCTCAAAAAGAACTACACAGCAAGAAGGCTGTTCAGGCATGCAAAGACAAGGTAATTTGACCAGGATTCTTTTGCTTTGAAAGAGGCAACTGGGGGGATGTAGTGGAGATTTATATTTTAAAAAAATTAATGTCATGAAGAGGGTGAATTAAGAACAGATACGGCATCAGTTCTGCACTGACATTATACGTGCCTCCAGGGTTCTGTAAAACTCAACTGTATGTCGCCTTCAGCCTTCTGCTCTCCAAATTGAAGCGTCCCACCATTTTCAGCTTATCCTCACAAGGCAGCTGGTCCATCCCTATCATAGTAGCTGCCTTTCTTTGTACCTTCTCTTACGTTGTTTGCGAATGCCAGAACCACACACGATGCTGAAGATGGGGGTGCACCAAAGTTTCATATAGCAGCAAAATTATGCCCTCTGTCCTGCTGTTACAACATTTCCTGGCGATCAACAGTATTTTGCTTGCTTTTTGGCTGCAACAGTGATTTCAGATATGGTTCCATATACCGACTATTTTAAGTCAGTGAGGATGTTATGCTTAATAATTAACTCCAGCGCTGACTAAACATGGTCTTCCCATCGTGGCTGTTCATTTCTGTTACTTCTCTTCTGTTGATTTACTCAACAAGGTGGTTCAACTTACCTTGGAACTATACGATTGCTTACTAGATCCCAGTGCTAGCCTGGTACAAAGATTGGGCAGCCAATCATGTAAAGTGTAACAAGAAACCATCCTCTAAACTGGGGTGTTCCTATCCCTTAAAAAAAAAAGAGAGCGTATTTATGTGCAAATCTTTAAAAAAAAATGTAGGCTTTACTCTTTGGTCTCAGTACTTCTAACAAGTTTCTAAACTTTAACAATTTATTACAGGTACATTAAGTATATTAGAGACCTGGCTCTTTTTTCTCTTAGTGAGGTTGCTTTCAAAATGCAGGATGCCAGCAGAAGAATACTGCTTTGTATTAAAATGCATTTGTGCCTGCTTTGCTTCTGTTTAGGTGAAAATGCCAGATGCAGAATTTTTTGTTAATTTGGGGGACTGGCCTCTGGAGAAAAAGAAGTCCCCACAGAACCTGCACCCCATCTTCTCATGGTGTGGGTCCAGTGAGTCAAAAGACATTGTCATGCCAACATACGACTTGACAGATTCAGTTTTGGAGACTATGGGACGGTAAGCAATCGCTTAAAACTTTCGCAAAATTTACAGTGAATGATCTTCCAAAAAGATATTTGTATTAGCAGTGTATTAACTGTTTTACTCTTTATTTATCCATTGAGACATTGGCACCCTGTAGGTAGGCAATAACCATGTAATCAATATCTTAACATTAACCAAGTTATGTATTATATAACGTAAATGACATACATTAAAATACTTAACTGTTTTATTTAAAAAATCAAAATTAATCTAAACATGGTCAAGTCACTCAAAACAGCACTTAGATGGAATGTTTCAAGAGTAGGTATTTTGTTTGTTTGCTTTGTTTCCCCCCCATGAACATGTTGACAACTGGCCAGGTCTCTTTTTTTCCTGATTTTCCTAGAATCTTTTTTCTGTGCCTTTTAAAGCCCTCTGTAGCCAGCATTCTTGACCTAGGACCTCCCACTTTGATTACTGATCATAACTGGCCCGCGCAACTGCCCTGTCGCTGTCTTGAAACACTACAAAGCCAGCTTCTAAGAGATGTTTGTTATCGACTTTGAACTTGTTCATTATTTCACTGCATTCAGTTCAGGTTCCTTTATTATCAAGACTTTTCCCAAATTTGCTCCCTCCTGCCCCCCCCAGTTTATGTGTTTTAAGTTAGCAAAGGAAGTGAAATATGTTGTATTAAGCTAGTTATATAAAAACCTTGCTTTGGACTATCATGACTGCCTCATCACCATTATCAGTTATTGCATTACCCTGTATCACCTTCATCTGTCTGGCAACCATATCCACTTTCAGCCACTTTTTTCCATGACAACTGACAGGTACTCTTTCCACATGCCACATCGTCGTCGAACTGATGGCTGTCTTGCCACAGGCCTGTGAACTTGACATTCCTTATCTATTTTTATCGCTGCAAAAATACTGATACAATACATATACAGGTGTGCTCATGACTTAGAATCAATCATAGAATCATTAAGGTTGGAAGAGACCTCTAAGATCATCGAGTCCAACCATCGACCCAACACCACCATGCCCACTGAACCATGTCCCTAAGCGCCTCATCTGCACGTCTTTTAAATACTTCCAGGGATGGGGACTCCACCACTTCCCTGGGCAGCCTCTTCCAATGTTTAACCACTCCTTCAGTAAAGAAATCTTGAAAGAGTGGTTAGACTTACTTTCATCCTTTGTATTTCCCTACTGGTACTGTAAACTCTTTAAGTAATTGCACTTCAAAAAATTTCCAGTAGGCTTCACTATTAAATCTCTTCTTTCTCCTCCAGAGTCAGCCTGGATATGATGTCAGTTCAAGCAAATACTGGCCCTTCATGGGAAGACAAGAATACCACGGCATTCTGGAGAGGACGCGACAGCTGCAAAGAGAGGCTTGAACTTGTAAAACTGAGCAGAAAATACCCAGAGATCATAGATGCTGCTTTCACAAACTTTTTTTTTTTTAAACATGATGAAAGCCTCTATGGCCCCATTGTTAAACACATTTCATTTTTTGATTTTTTTAAGGTAAGCCACTAACCATTTTTCATAGAACTAGGTTCTCGGTGCCTCCCGTTATCAAATAACTTTGTATATATTATTGATAATAAAGTGATTTTTAGTTTTTCAGCACACCACCAATAACAAGCATGAACAGGCATCCCTCCAGTGGGATTAACTGCTGTGTAGCTCTTACGCTGAGGATAATAATGTTTGATTTACATCTAAAGGTTCTGTAGAACCTTGTGTAATCTATATAACTCCAAGTTCCTTTTTATTTCTTTTTCCTGATTCAGCGATCAGGACTACTAACATAACTAACATAGTGGGAAAATCAGTGGATGAAGTGGCACACCTACCCTCACACCCGAGGATGAGCGTCTAAGAATTTCCGGAGAACTTAATTGATGAAGAGGGCATCTCTGTGTACCCAGCACTGTGATGAATTCCAAACTAAATAATAAAAGCTACTTAAACATTGATGCTTGCCTAGCCAATCCTACATTGCTCAATATCGGCAAGTCAGTAATACCAGTGCCCTCAGAATAATATAATCCAAGCTACTTGGATCTTCTGTTCGTTAATAACTTATGGTCATTTTCTTTCCAGTATAAATATCAAATTAATATTGATGGCACTGTGGCAGCATACAGATTGCCTTATCTACTAGCAGGAAACAGCGTGGTGCTAAAGCAAGACTCCATCTACTATGAGCATTTTTATAACGAGCTGCAGCCATGGAAACATTATATTCCGTTTAAAAGTGACCTGAGTGATCTACTAGAAAAACTACAGTGGGCAAAAGAGCATGATGAAGAGGTAAATACGCATTTAGAAGTACTCAGCAATGTTTCTAGACAAAATAGAGAGAGCAAAAAGTGCGTTTCTTTAAAACAAAAGAATCTATTAGGAGGACTTAAAAATTATTGTCATCAACTCTACAAATAAGAAAAATACTTTTTAAAAAAATACGTAATACTGCCCTTAATTGGAAACTAAATTGAACTTTGGAAAAATTAAGAGTATTTTCATAAGAATGCCTTACTTCTAAAATTAAGAATGTTTAAATAGGTTATCCTAAACTGTCAACACTATACTGAACTCCAGAATCAATACTGAAATAGCTACAGTTTTTTGAGAATTTTAAAAAAACTTTTGTTTTCTTTGACAGGCAAAAAATATTGCAAAATCTGGACAGGAATTTGCAAGAAACAATCTCATGGGGGATCACATTTTTTGTTACTATTTCAAACTTTTCCAGGTTAGTGTATTTTTAACGGCTAATACCACAAAAATAGAAAACCCAGAGAAAGAATTCAGGGCAACGGAGCTGCTGGAAATTGGCCAGTCCAGTACTTGAAGCCACAAAGCAAGCAGCAGCAAGTTAGAACTTCAGTTTGTTTACAAACACTGCATGCAGTTAATTCCTATGAAACCCCTTAAGACTACGCTGGCGGTTTCAGAGGAGCAATCGGATCACGTCAACGTTGATCTAATCTGCAAGAATATGTTTCCCACAATGATCAAAGAATTCCACATCAGACGCAGACGCTGTGAACCACAGCTGAAAATACCTGTGCATTAGCACCGAGATACCAGAACTCCAGCGAGGCACCCGAAGGGGCTCCTGTCTGCAGTCAAGTATCTGCTTACCCTGTCTGTGACACAGCGTGGAGTAACAGATTGTGTAGCCCCAGAGTTTTCACAGAATTACTCAGCTGAGTTGGTGCGGTGTTTACAACCAGATGTACAATCCAACAAGTTCGTGAATTAACGATACCTTCCTTTTTTAAAACTAGGAATATGCCAGCTTGCAAGTGAGCGAGCCAAAAATCAGAGATGGGATGGAGAAAGTGCAGCAGCCTGATGATGACCTTTTTCCATGTACTTGCCACAGAAAAAAGGTACAGTACGTACACTGTTCAACATAAAATGCTGGATGCCCTCGGTTCATATTCAACCAAATCGGAACAGCCATTGCTCAATAGCCCGTGGTATCAGTTACCAGACCATTAACGTCTGTCGAGCTTGGAAACATTTCGTAATGTATTTGCAGGACTAGACAGTTAAAAATTGAGTTTCCAATTAACTGAAAAACGTTTCTTCTTTCTTGACTACAGGCCAAAGATGAACTCTGACAGAAAGAAATAAGATAATTCTTTGAATATTTACCTACGTTCAGAATGCCTTCTTAAGGAAAGAAGAAAAATTTGGATTAAAATGCCAGTGGATAATGTCAATAGATATTATGAAGTTTACTGTATCATGATCTACATATGGAAGAAAACCAAGCATTCCCTATTTCCTTTTTATCATGCAGTGGTTGCAGAGCCTTGTTCAAAAACATTTTTATAACTTTTTTTTTTAAATAAAAACCATGTTTGTATCAGTCATGTGTTACTGTCCTGAGATACCTAGGAAATGCAGATACTTTTTACTCATGCTTGTTACACTGAGTCTATTCACAAGCATGTCCTGCAAAAAAGGGCAGGTAAGAATTGTCATCTTTTTCAGACTATAACTTTGTTCCTTCTGAGAGAATCAGTATTCTCAAAGACGGTGACGTGGGGTTTGTGATACATCCTTTTAACCTGAAGGAAAACCACCGTGCTATTGGACACTTTAGGAATATTAGATAAAAGTTTTAAGTTCCATATGATTTTTCACAGATGCTTTGTCTGTGAAACTCAGTCTCTTTGGCAATACGAAAAGAATTAAGTAGCATTGAGCAGTGACTACTGAAACTAAACCGATCCCTGTTTCAACAGTCTAGTCTATTTTTAAAATACTTGCTTTCCGCTGATACTAAGTAATTCAACTGTTACTTTCTGAGCATATCAACATCATCTGAAAATGATCCGTAGGTGGATTTAAAGTCGTCTAAATTCATCGAATTCTATGGTTAGCGCATATGTTTCCAGTCCAAAGTGAGGATTTATTTTCTCTGTAACACAGCCAGTCAATTTAAAAACCATGCGGTTATTTTCTTTGCAAACATTTAGATGTGTGCTGTGCTTCTTGAACAACGCTACTGCTGAGAGATCAGCGTTCTTGAGGCATCTTGTGAGAAACAACAGAAGAATATTGTATCTGATTTTTAACTTTCACCTGCCTGTTATTTTTACTATAGTAAAAGCAAGCGTAAGGCGTAGTTTGTTTGATCATGTGGTAAACAATATATGTTATAATTTAACTATACTAACCTAGAGTCTTAAATAGATCTTTTAGACAATAGAGCACCCCAAAATAAAGCTATCCGATCTAAGCACCTGACCAAAACATCATAGACATCCTCTCGGCTCACCAGGGCTGACTCGGCATACATTTAAGCAGCTCTGCATTGTCACACACGAAACTGCTCCCAAGAACAACCCTGAGGCTAAAGCTGCCTGTTCGCATTCAACTGGTCGCACTGCAGCAGCAAGCTGCAAGATGCAGAACGACCAGAGCAGGTTTTAGGGAGCTCTTGGCAGTGGAGACGACACCACCATCTCAGGAGAAACAAACAAGATGCTTTGCTCAGGACCAACCAGCCATTCCATCTCAGGGTCACCATTCAGCTGATACTCGCTGATGACTTGGCTGAAAGCAGTTAGCATATAGCCATAACCTTTGGTTATACCAACAGGTTACTCGTAGCCCACAATGGGGATGTCTGCAGCTGCAAGCACGCCCAAAGTATTTCATCCACTCTGCAACGTCAGAGCTCAGTTGAAGACCCGAGTTCCTTCTGCTAATGGGTAATGAGGTCCAGACCCCCACCTGCCTCTTCTGAGCCCTCCTGACAGAAGCCTTGTGCAACACGTCATAACTGCTTCCTCCTCCAGGAGTTCCTCCACCAGTATAAACATTTGTCTTTTATCAGTCGTTTTTTATTTAATAGTCTTCCATGCCCATCTCTCCAAAGGGCCTCTGTCATCAGTCCTTTACGCAAGGGAAGTTGCTGGAGGGTGACTTTTCAAAACTGACCCATGTTCTTTGCTCCTCATGCACAACCGTGCCTACATTACCTCCTCCTCCTCCACCCCGCACAGGCCGAGAATCTGGCTCCTTAGGGTAGCGACATTGTAAATGACAAGAGATTCCTCTACCTGTGTCACAGGTGTTCAAGCACATTGGAGCACCAGGATACGGCACCAAGGCAGAGTAGTACAACCCATGCTGGCCGGCCTCAGGGGATCCTGCTCGCAGGATTCTACAGATCAGTAGGTTTTAGTTTCAAACAAGTATAGCAACAGTAATATATACTCAGATGAAATGCATCTAAAGATTTGCTGTCAAAACAGATTCTTTCCCATATATTACTTCAAATATCAGTCACAAGCATTTAGTTGTTAATGCAGAGCACTGAGCGTTATATAGAGTTATTTGCATAGAAACACAGAAAACAATGCTGCCATGGTATTAAATGTTTGGTAATTTTCTGTCCTTCCTTCGACAAGTTCTTTATTGTTTTGCATCATTTTTTTCATTCACACAAAAGTATCTTATTTGCACTTACACTTAGACCTCTGAAAATACGTGTTTTAAAAAATACCTCTCAGAAATAACGAACTCTAATTGGCTGCATGTAGGAAAAGCTAAATGAAGATACTGCTTAAACACTGCAAGTCACATGTGCTCCAGTTCAATATTCTCTCTGAGCCAAGAAAAAACTTGCGCATTTATTTCTTCCATGACATCGTCTGTTGTTCGTCCTTTGACTGCCATCCCATGGTTTGCTTTATCAATCCAATGGATTTTTTTAGGCGCTTTCATTTTGCTTGCCACACCTTCTAGCAATTGCTATGGAGACAATAAGAATGAAAAAGTTAAGAGAGTCAGTTGCTACAAACTGTGCAACTCAGATATCTCTCGCTTTGCTTGTGCAACACATAATAGGCAGCTCTTAAAAAGAAAATAGATCTGCGTGCACATTAAAAACATGTTGATAGAAAAGATATGATGATGCTGTGTTCAGTAATGGAATTCGCTCAAAGGTTAGCCCTCACTCAAACACAGAAGAGCAGAAAATTAGAACTTAAAGGTCACAACCTTGTGCGGGCTCCTTGCCCCCAAAGGGGGAAGGATGAAGGAATCCACTTTTACTGCCAGCAGGTAGTACTAGCAATAAAATGACAGAACTTCTGACGTCAGATTTGTCTACAGTGGCAGAGTAGCAATACAATTCCCTGGAGACTGGCTTTGACTCTGTTCAACTTTCTCAGCAAACAGATCTAAGAACCAGCTCCGCAAGTCTTAAAGATTTCCCTATTAAGAAGGCACTCCAAGGATCTGCTGGTTGCTAGCCTGACTTATTTTGGTGATGCCTCCTCATGAAAGCATTATGACTCCTTAGAAACCGTCCAAGCATGGAAAATGCCAGTTGCACACAGTCCCAAATTCAAGTTGAACCGTTCAAGAACAACAGATACCTATTTGCAAGAAAACAAGGCAGAAAACCACTGTATTCTGATCTCTGCACACCTGTTCTTCATCTCTACAAAAATACCACTTTCTACCACAGAAGTCTGACTTGTGGGTAGAACTGCTTTGCTAGAATTTGTCATGAAAACGTGACGAATGTGGACTGGTAGCACAGCACAGTGTTTGTGTTTTGTAACCTGAAATGGTTAAAACAGAAGAGCAAATAAAAGTGGCCTATGGAAGGAGCGAGTTAATTTGTACAATCTTATCCTATAAAAAAGACAACATTTAAATTAGCAGTATTTTAGCGGCCAAAAGATGAGTTTACTAAAGTGGATGATCAAGCACAATCCAGAAGTTTTAAGCAGCAAAAGAAAGCACCGCCAAGCTTCCTTATGTCCGATGAAGTTTCCTACCCAAGGCTTCCTTCAGACAATATATATATTTAGAAAAGGCTGTTAACCAAAGTCACAGCTATCTATACCAGTACAGACGTCACTCAGACTCATTCCTATTCCTCCATACTGCCCCTTCATAGCAGGATTTACAAGGGTACTCACTTTTTCGCACATCTCATCTGCTGATCCTGAGACAAACAACACCGGACACCTGATAAATAACAAATCTTCATCCCGGAGCTTGGACTGAAGTTTTGGTCGATGCAATGGGTAAGATAAACATACTAGACCTTGAATGAAGTCATCATCGTCCTCCTGGCTAAGATGACGTATCACAGAGGCAGCAGCTCGTGAGCCCATGGAACGGCCTTTCTCCCATGTTAAAATAAAGGAAAAAAGTGTATCTGCTGTCACCTCACCTACATTCTGTTCGAGTAAACAACTCCAAAACCCAATGTAACTGAGTGTATTTCAGTGTACCAGTAGTACAAGATGCTAGGGATGCTTTTATTCATCTACTGCATGAAAAATATTAATCCTAATTTCAGTATTTTCTGCTAAAATATTTGTCTGGTTATATTATGTTTTCACATCCCCATTTAAAAAAAGAAGGGAACAAAACAAACAAACAAAAAAAGATAAGATAAATGGAGGAGGATCCTTTGCAATACTGGAAGGAACAACAGCCCATCCTGGGGGCAGGAGGAAGAGAGGGACAGGTCCTATGCTCCAGACCCTTGAAATTCCAAATAGCAATGCTATTATCTTGTATCATTTTTTTCACGCAACCTTAATCTGCTCAAACTAAAAACAAAGTTTTACGTGCCTTAGTCCCAAAACAAATCCAACAAGTGTGTATGCACACCTCAAACTTCAGCCTAAAAGTAAAAGTTAGAAGGCAGGGGCGAGGGGGGAAATTAAGTGTGAAGTTGTAGCATGAGGTCAGTCAGTAACAGCAAGGGGATATCAAAATACCTCCTCAAAGAAGAGGCATATGAGCTGACAATGCTCTGTAATTGAGTGTTAGAAGTGGCTGATTCCAGTGGGATTAACTTGCATCAGCGCAGATTTGGTTTCGCTTAGTCAGAGAATATTCAGGGTTTCCCGTATCAAGTTATCGCTAGTCACACCCATCTACTTCCCTTTTTCACATAAATAGAACTGATTTTCTATCTGCCACTAGGTTTTATCTACCAAAACCTGCTTTGGCAAAATGGTTTTCCATTTACCATTAACCAAAATTCTTCAAGACCCACAGTTAAAAAATACACACGGGTAATCGGAGAACTCATGCCCTGTCACTTACAAGCAACAAGGAAGTTTTCTCGCAAAGTTCCTGCAAAACATGGCCTATTGCTCTTTCCTTCCTCCTTCTGGAGAGAGATCTGTGGCACCATGAGGAGGGTGAATAGGTCTAGACAGCCATGCCCCCAAGAGAACGCGGTGAAAGCCGCAGGCTGGATGTTCCCATTTGCGACCCGAGAAGCAGTGCTGCTCAAGCCAGCCGCGAGAGAGCCGAGCTGCACACCCGCCCCGCGCAGCCACCGGCTACAGGGCTGGTGGCCTTCAGACACCCCAACACAGATCTGTAAGCGGGCTTGGCACTTGCGTTCCCGTGGCAGCCAGTGGACTGCTAATCAGTTAATGAAGGTTACAGAGCATTCAACTCTTTGTAAAGGAGGTCCTCCCAGCAGATAGCTGAATTGCTCTCCCTAGGCAATACTGACTAGTGGGAGTTTATTCAGCTTGTTCCCAAGTTAGACAGCAAGCTTTTAGTGCCCACCTCAAACCGAAACCTGTCATCCACATCTGTTCACTCACTTCTTACCAAAGTGGGACAGACTTAAAAAAAATGGAGTAATTACAGATTGCTATCATTAGAGGCAGTATAAGAGAGAAAATTATAGGTAGTAAAAACAATACCTGCAAGGAAGACACCCAAAAGTTTATAATCATCAGAAAGCTTTAAGTATTCCTGAAGAAATAAGATGAAGAGAAACATTGCAAGTCAGAATTAAGGCAGCTGAGAGGCAGGGATCTTTTTTGTTTGCAGCTACTAAACACAAAATGGGAAACTCTTTCAGCACTGCAGATTAAACAAAGAACAGATACATACAAGTTGCTATCTTGTTTTTTCACACAAATGATTTCATAATATTCTGCAGTAACAACATAACAAACATAAGCAATTTCACATTAGTTCTCAGCAAGTCTAAAATTTCAGATGCCCTATCAAGTTACCAAAAGGTAAAACAGTTACTGTGTATCAACTTAGTTCTAGTGACAGACCGCATGCACACTCTTAGACCGTCAAAAGGCAAAATAAGTTTGCAAAAATGCCCTTCACTGAGGCTGAGGTCACATATCAGTTATGTTTCAGTTTAAGACACAATCAGTTATGTCTGACAGAGAAGATAAAATTCAGCAACAAATTTTCCAGTTTTTAGGAGATAACTAATCAGATACTATCTTAGCAGAGGCCTTTAAATTACCTTTACACAGCAGCATATTAACATAAACTCACTAACAACGTTATGCTTCTTCAAAAAAGAATGGAGAACAGATCCCCATTAAAGCTAGCAAAGTCTAACTTCAAATTAATGTACATATAATCACAATGACATCATACAAATGAATTCCTTAAGAACTGGACTTAGTTCCCTGATAAAAATGTCTCATGCTCAATGCTACCTTCCCATGCCACAGTAAAAGTGGCTAATCAGGAGAAAATTTCCACTCCTTCCTACGCACTCCAGAACAGGAAGATACTCTAAGCTGATACTATTATAACAAAGGTTGCTCATTTTAACAAAATCTAGGTATACAAGAGCATCTTAAATAATGTAGCAGCAACAGCAGCAAGAGAGAAACACACGCATATAACAGTTTAAACTGATCTGGAAATCAAAGACTATTTAGGTTCTAGGGCTCCCATATGCTACTCCCAATCTCTCTTGCTTCAACTCCTCCTGCGACCCAGAGTCCCTTACTCTTTCCCCAAAGTCCTGTTCTCCCAGCTGCCAACCCTCAGATACCCAGCACAATTCCCAGGTCAGCTTCTTTCCTCTCAAAACCGCTCCCAAAGCTGTATCCCCTAACCCTCTTCCCCTCACCAAGCCCTCCCAGAATACCTAGCTCTTGTTTCCATCCTAAATATTTCATTTTTTCCAGCTGTTTTTCCACAAGACATACTTGCTTTCTTCACATCCTTTTCTCAAGTTTTTCCTTCTCTCCCTGAACTCTAACCCATGTATTTGCTGCAGCTGTTCTAGCTATTGCCTGTATAAAAATTGCTCCTGCTGTTTCTGCTTATGGGCACTGCTCCATCCAGCTAACCATCATTTCTAATTTTCCCATTGCTGCTTGACTAATAGCTGGTGGTAATTTAAGAAAACCAGAAGCAGACAGGATTTTTGGTTTTTTTTAAATCCTGTGCACCCACGGATCTAAGCTTTGGCATAATTTTACTTCTTACCACAACTGTTTTGAAGGCCTTAGTCCTATAAGCAATGTTAAGGCCTTTACAAGTAAACCGCAGGCACAGAACTCCATGGGATGCAAGATAGGCTGCCAAAGACACTAAGTGAGGGAAATTCATATCTCCGCCAGCTCCATGGGTAAGAATCACTCCATATGTTGATTTCTTCTCTGGGACAGAAAAGATAGCATCAAGATACTTGTTTCCAAAAGGTATTTTCACTTTAACCTAGAAACAAAAAACAGTGTAATTAAAAAAAAAAAAAGAAAGCATGCTCCCAGTCTACACATTACGATGAAGAAAAATCGGACAATTAAGAAAGAAACCCAAATTGCAAGTCCACTTTTATTTCTTCTGTTTAAGAGCACTAAATGAGTAACTCTACCTCTGGCTCAAAGATTTTCCACGCAATAATGGGCAAGTCACCTTATCACTCCACACTTTATTTTCTCCATTAGAAAATGAAGCATCCCTAGCTTCAAAGGATGCTTCAAGGCATAAACTGAAATGCTTCTTACCTTCTCTATATATCTATATGTAGCTATTCAAGAGCTAACTACCATAATTGACTTGAATATTAAGTCTTCCACAATAAGAAAAATTAACTCTTCTCTAAGACTTAAAAATAAATAGGAAATATGAACTCTTCTACAATTACAGCTTCCTGTAGTGGAAAAAGTATTTTTATCTCCCATCTATCACAGACATTCTTAAATAAAAGAATTAAGGAAGCTTCTAAAGATTTATTACAACCAAATCACTTTGGGTCTATAGAGCCATATGGAGTATATAGGATTAAGAGAACTCCATGCTGACAGCAACTGTTTAATCCTGTAGCTGTAGGATCCATGTACAAGCTTGATTACACAGGGAAAAGACCAAAACAGAGTATTATGAAAAATGGATTTGAATACACTAGTTTTAGATATTACATGCAACTACAAGAAAAAAACCACAGGAATTACTTTTTTCATTAAGTGTTCAATAATAAATATTGGCAGATGCCACAAGATAAATATTTCATTTATTTGTATAATTGACACTCTAAGATAAGCAAAGCACTTACTCTCTAACTAGCAGCCTAAACCACAGAAATAGAAGACATGAAGACACAGCCCAGCAAGCATTTCCGAATCACACAGTGGTAACCACTGAGCGGAGCGGCAGCCTGCACAGAGTCAAAGACTGAACTTTCCCCAGGGACAGGAGGGAGACGGCACAAGTTCAGACAAAGCCAGCTTCAGGCTGGCGGAGGACCTCCAGTCGCGACAGACATCAGGAGGAGCTGAACGAGACACAAGACCAGCCGATGTTGAGCTGAATGAAAGGGGACTGGACAGCACATGTGGCCCTGAACGTGCTGCAGCTTCTGAAAGCAAAAAGGAAAACACCCTGGGGCTGGGATGAAACACTGTTTCGTGCCACCGCTGCCTCCCAAAGGCTCTCCTTGGCAGTGGTCCTACAGGGGCACCGCGCACAGGGAAGGAGGAGGTTGTCAGTGGCCTCACGAAGCTGCTACCTGTACAGTCTCTGCCCAGCTGAAACGGGTGGAGGATGCCAGCGAGCGGCAGCCAGACCTGCGGGACAGCCAGCAGCCCTACGCGTGTGTACAGAGACGGGCAGAAGCCTGAACAGCCAGAGCTGCTGCTCCCTGACCACCAGGCCGCTGCTCAGTGAAGACACCCGGCGGCCCGGCGCCCACCCAGCCACGTTTACACCTCTCCTGGGAAGGCAGAGGCGCCCACCCCCCCCCCCTTCCCCCGCACGGGGGTTCCTTAGATCCTTAGA